TCTGTGGACGCACTGGGAAGGGACACACAAGAGTTTCCAATCTGCAGAAACAAATGCAAGTTGAGGATTTACCTCCTCAGGGCTATCTGCATATTTCTCGATCTGATTTATTTTCTATTCCTTCTCATGCTGCTTGCTATTTCCTCCTGAAAAATATTTTCACTTTATGTCTTTGTTGCCAACCTATATGTTTTATTCATGCTCTCATGGTGGTGTATCAGTGAATTAATTCTGCCTTCAAGGAAGATGAAGTCTTTAATAAACTTCCCTTTGTATTCTCTAGAACAAAACTACACTGGCTTTGAGCTTGTTACACAAGTGGTTCTGAAAAAGGAGTGAATGCTGCTACTTAGGGACTTCTGTGTGTGAAATTCAGTACTTTTTAAACAGATTTATTAACGTGTTTGGTTCTAAAAATGTGGTATAAGAGATGTGATGAAAAATATAGATACAGCACTCTGAATCTTTTTAGAGGATGGATTACATTTATTTTAGGGGTCATGAATTTTTAGAAATGTTAGCATGTTGTAGTCAATTTTCTTTCTCTTCTTTCTATATAATTCTTTGCCGTTGTTCCAATCCAGAAAAGGTTACTAGACAAACCACAACTGTACAAAATAATAATTCATTCACTTTTGTGCAGCCCCTCCCCAACATTCCTCCCTTTAAAAGTAAAGTGACTTGAGGAACTTCCCTAGGGGTTCAGTGGTTAAGATTCCATGCTTCCAATTGCAGGAGTTGTAGGATCAATCCCTGGTTGGGGAACTAAGATCTTACAAGCTGCAGGGTGCAGCCAAAAAGTAAATATATAAAATAAAAAATAAAATCAGATGGTTTTTTTGGTTGTTGTTGTTGTTGTTATTGAGTTGTATGAGTTCTTTATATATTTTGGATATTATCAGATAATATAACCCTTTATCAGATATATTTTCTCCCATTCAGTAGGTTGCCTTAAAGTAATATTGAAAAATAAAAAAAGGAGTGGGGAGCAAACCCTCATGGTACACATAAGGAGCAACAGGATGCTATTCTTGTCTTGGTCTATGGCCATACCACCTTGAATGTGCCCAATCTGGTCTGTTCTAGACTTGCACTGTGCCCTGCTGCACTTTTGTGAGCAAGTCCAGTCTGTTCCACTAGACCCAAAGTTCTTGGTGTGCAGGTTGGTGTACCTCTGTGCTCTTCCTAGTGCCTAGAAAGTATATTGCTAAGAGCACCTTGAAGCCTGGGAAGCGGTCTGGCCAGTAGAGCAATTGTGGACTTTGACCCTGGACAAGTCCTTGAATTCTTCCTCTTCACCACTGTGCCCCCCCACAGCCTGTGCTTTAGTGTCTTCACCTGAAAAACAGCAGCCACTGTTGCTGCTGTCGTGAGGATTACAAGAACATAGTATCAAGTTCACGCACAGACTAACCCTCAATAAACGTTCCCGCCTTTCCCCTTCTTAGCATCACATCTCACCACTGTTAGGATTCCTTTATACATTTGGAGGCTGCACAAGTCTTTTCACTGAAAGTATGCAGCCGAAAGTGTCCATCATGCAATAACTTGTCTCTCTAGTCCCTAGAGTTTCTATCTTTGAACTTCATTCATTTATCTTTAATCTGAACCCAGAATCCAAGTTTCAAATCTTCTGGCTGATGGTGTGCTTGCTCAGATGTCATTCCTTGTTTGGGTAAGTGACTTGGCAGAGGGATGGTGAGCAGGGAGGGTGAGGTGGAGAAACTGGGAGAAGAGACTCTGAATCTCATTCAACACAACTTGCAGTCAGGAGGAAAGGGGGCTCAGTATTTCTAAAAAAAAAAAAAGTAAGTGATGTGTTATTTGAACAAAACATGAGTTCGTTTGCCCTTAGACACTTCATCTTTTTTCGCCTCATGTTCTTCCCTGATAGTCCAGGGAGAGTATTCAGAATGGTCTCTTTATGCAGGTGGCTCAGCTGGTAAAGGATCTGCCTGTAAAGTGGGAGACCTGGGTTCGATCCCTGGGTGGGGAAGATCCCTTGGAGAAGGGAAAAGCTACCCACTCCAGTATTCTGGCCTGGAGAATTTCACGGACTACATATAGTCCATGGGGTTGCAAAGAGTTGGACACGATTGAGTGACTTTCACTTTATGCAGGTATTTAAAAAAAATACTTCCCAATTACTACCCCGACTATTTTGGGAATAAACAGTTGAGAGCATGTAGTGACAGAGTTGCCTAGGGCAGTTCTCAAGGTTTTTTTCATTTGGGGGAGTAAGTTAATTTGTTAGACAGCTTAGTAGGGAGCTAAGTTGTCGAGGTTCAAAACCCGGTTCTGAGTACTTCCCCGGTGGCCCAATGGTTAAGATTTCACCTTCCAATGCTGAGGATGTGGGTTCTATCCCTAGTCAGGGAACTAAGGTCCCACATGCCTCGGGGCAACTAGGTCACGTGCCACAACTACACAGGCTGCAAGAAGATCCCACGTGTTGCAATTAAGACCTGATGCAGCCAACAATAAATATTTAAAAACAAACACACTGATCATCCCTCACCCCCCCCCAAACCTAGTTGTTCCTAAGCTTTCCTGGCCTCCATTTCCTCACCTGTAGAGTGAGGACAGTGCTTATCACATATGGTTGCCATGAGGATGAATGAGAGAGTCCATGTAAAATACCCAGAATGGAAGCCAGTGGAGAGTTACCATTGTTATCATCCAGGTAATTTGAAGTCCACTGAGTCCCATTGGCAATGTGCTGCAAGTTCTTTAATCTTGGCAGTAAAGTCTTTCATCTTTTTAGGAGCACTGCTGTAGGTCTCTGGCTGGATGCTTAGCAGGAGCTCTGTGGTTCCTACTGTAACCATATGCTGTCTTTCCAAAGCACACTGTATTTGGTCCACACATATTTGCTGAAATCCAGCCACATCAGAAGAAGCAGGGAGAAGACTTTTTTCTTTCCATTAAAAGGATCTGTCTAGCATTTGTTATGTGCAAGACACGGTTCTGGGTATTGGGATGACAAATGACAATTGTCCTCTGTAATGGTTCTGCATGCCAAGGTACAAAATCTGCCAGGAACTGTGCTAGATGTATCTCTATAGAATGGAGTTTAATTTCTATTGTAGATCCAAAGACTGCATTTTACATTTCCATCCCTTGATACAGAAATGGCCCATGAGATGTTATGAAATGTCTCAAAATCCTTCCTTCTTCCTTTAGCAATATTTTTGCCTTTTAAAACCTTTGCAGAGGCAAAAGATTGATATTTAGCATCTCAGACAGATAATGAACACTCATGAAATCACATTGTATTATCAATAGTTCATATATTTTTTGGATTGAGAAAATATTTATTATTCTTCCTGAGAAGTGGCACAAATTGAAAAATATAAAATGTTCAAGAAACATATGCAGATAGAAAATACTCAATGGCCGAAGAAGAGGTAGAATTTAGGAGTGCTAAAGATAGACTCAATGTAGCAGGCTAAATAATGTCCCCAGAATACAAGTTCGAGCTTCCCAGGTAGCTCAGTGTTAAGAATCCACCTGCCTATGCAGGAGACTTGGGTTGGATCCCTGGGTGAAGAAGATCCCCTAGAGAAGGAAATGGGAACCCACTCCAGTATTCTTGGGGATACCTGGGAAATCCCATGGACAGAGGAGCCTGGTGGGCTTACTGACTCAACAACAACAACAAAGATATGTTCTTGTCCTAGTCCACTATGCAGAGGATTTTGCACATGTGATTATGTGAGAGATTTTGAGATGGGATTATATTGGGTTACTTGGGTGGGTCCCAAATGCAATTACATGTATCCTTAGAAGAGGAGGGCAGAGGGAAATTCAGCTACACACACAGGAGGTATAAGAGGATGGAGCACAGTGTTAAAGATGCTGTCTTCAAGACTGATATAGCCACAAGCCTAGGAATGCTGGCAGTTACTAGAAGCTGCAAGAGGAAAGATTCTCCCCTAGTGCCTCTAGAGGAAGAGTGGTCTTGTTGATGTCTTGATTTTGGCTCAGTAATACTGATTTTAGACTTTTGGCCTCTAGAACTGTGAGAGAATGTATTTCTGGTGTTTTAACTCACCTAGTTTGCAGTAATTTGCTGCAAGAGCAACAGGAAACTAAAACACCCATTTAAATGAATGACAAGGAGGACAACCACTCTTTTCCATGTTCCACCACCTCTTGGCATGTTGCTTTCTAGTACAGGTTCTGGCTCACTGTGTCACTTTTAACTTATATGTTCCTTTATTTTCCTTTGCATTCTTTTGAAAGAAAGATGGCACATAGCTTTTATTTATTTATTTTTTTAATTTGGATACTGGTGTTTTGATTATGGGTGGAATATCCGTGGTGGAGTCTCCCCCACTTATTTATGTAATGAGGTTATCATCTTCATTTGTTCACTATACCTAAGTCGTTAGCATCATCCCTTTACAATAAGATGATAATGCATGTTGACTCAACATGTTTTCTTAAAATTAAACCCTAGTTACATAAACAGATTTGTATGCTCCTTCAGAAATTTCCAGAGAGAGACCAACTGCATCTAATTTAGTGTGTCTCCTCCTTAGGGTGGGTCCTTTCCACAGGCGCCTTATGCTGCCCATTTCTTTTAGATTCTTCCTGATTCCATTCTTAGGGCTTTTATCTTCAAGTCATCATCCATATGGGACAGAACCCAACTTTCTATCTCATCTTCAGCCTGCAGCTTTCTCCCCCACTTCGGACTCCTTGCTGACGACTTCCTGCTAGACGTCGCTCCTCGAAAGTCTATAATAGACAGCTCCGACTCAATCAGGCTCATCTCCATGAGAGCATTCATTCATCATCATCCAGGCTGTCTACTTCCTCATTTGTCGACAGTTAAGTTCCACAGGACAAGGCCAATGTTGTGGTCTGTGCATTACTCCCAGTATGAAACACACTGCTAGCCACATGGCCAGCAGGCAAGAAATACTCTTTTGTAACGAGGGAACAAATAAACCAAGCAGCACCCTCCCCTTGGAGCTGGATCTTTTGGGGGCAGGCTAAACTGGTCCTTTAGATACAAGTGAAGAAAAGGGGTCTGTTTTCCTCATCTGACAGGGACTTAGTGGTGAAGCCATTTTCTTTTTCCCTCCAGGTTCTCGTAGTAACTTTCGATTGCGCAGAATCCCAAGCCTTTGGTGCAGGCAGACTGGTGGTGGCAAGCCCGGGCCTGGCAGCCGGGGTCCTCGGGGTCCCTCTGAGGGCGGCCGCGTGTCGGGACGTGTGCAGTCCCGGTCGTCGTGCCAGCGAGAACCGAGGTCGGGGCTCCCGGGCGAACACACCTCGGAGCCAGGGCGGCCCTGGCTGAGGCCTCGGCGCGTGTGAGGCCTGGGTCGGGGTCCTCCGGTGGAGGCGCGTCGGGGTCTGCGCAGTCGGGGGTCGCGGCCCTCGGCTACGGCGCGGGCGGCGCGGGTCCCGGAGGTCGCGCGGCCGGCGCCGCCCGACGTCACTTCCGACCGGAGCCAAGATGGCGGCGGCGCGGCCGCGGGCGCCGGGGCGGGCGGAGCGGTGGCAGCGGCTCGGGCGGCGGCTCTCGGCTCTCTGAGGCGCGGGGCGCGGCGGGCGCAGCCAGGTAAGAAGCAGCCAGCCAGGGCGGGTGGTTGCCGGGACGGCGGCGGACTCCGCGCCGGGACTCCCGTTCCTGTACGCGAGGAGCGAGGCGGCGGCGGCGCGAGCGACACGCCGGGGACCCGGGCGCGCAGGGCCGGGCGGGCCGGCGGGCGCGCCCCCTTCGAGGTCTCAGCGTCCCGCGCTCGCGGGGCCCCCCGCAACGAGGCGCGGCCCGCCGGCGGCCGGGGTCTGTCCTCCAGCACCGAGCACCCCGGCCCGGTCCTCCAGCGCCGAGCACCCCGGCCCGGTCTTGGGCCCCGGCGCGGGGAAGTTGTGGGGTCCGCTTTGTCGCCGTTGGTTAGCCACGCGCCCCGCGTGGAGGACGCGGGTGGGCTGCCGGGCGGCGGCGCCGGGCGGGCGGCTGCGACTCCAGCGGGATCCCGGTCCCGGGCCCGCGAGGGTGCCCACCGGTCCCAGAGCCGTTCCAATTTCAAGTGGTCTTGCTTTTCTTTTTTTGTGTTCCAGCCGAACGTGTCTCTCACACTTGCATTCTTAATTTGTTCAGCGTTTCGCGTCTTTGTGGTTCCTAAATCCACAGAGTGTAGTTGAAGCTTGGAAACGTTCTCCCTCGATGATCCCATCACAGACCCACCGGTGTTTTTGTGTTAAACAGACAGCGCATTTCTCTCACGCATTTTGTTACCACAGATGCCCCCGAACCTATTTTTGATGGTGGCAAGTGAGACACGTAGTAGACCAAGCAGGTCAGTGTCTTTCCCCTCCCCTCCGTAGTGGCTCCCGACCCACGCGTGAGCCCCTGGCCACCTTGTGTCCAGACACGAGCTTCGGGAACAATCCCACGTCGACCTGGGGAGTCCACAGTAGCGCCACTACGCAGTTGTAATTTCCCCAGAGAGAGGACACGCGTGCCCCTCATCTTCCATTGAGCGTTGTGTTGGTGTTTTGGTTTTATTTCAGAACGCCTTTTGGTGAATCCCAGTTAAGTCTTTTAAATCCCTCTGATCAGACACTAAAATGGCCCTACCCAGAAGGCGATTAAAATATTAAAGTTTTTGTTCACTACAGGTTTATTGTTAAAAGCAGTCACAGTCTTCTAACAACAAACAGACCCTTTCAGTGGTTCTCTTAAGATGTCAGACTTCATCTCAATTTGATCAGTTAGTTGCATGAAAGTATGTTGGGGAAATGTAGGCCTTTAAACATTTTTTTAAAACATGTTATGAAATGTGCTGTACAGATATTAAGGAGGAGGAACTGAGAGACATATTGTATGTTCCTTTTTAGTAGGGTCTTGTTTTTGAGGTGGCATGCAGCTGCCCCTTCATTCTCCTGTAAGCTTCCTTACAAACACTAATTTGCCCACATTGTTTACACGTAGAATCTCAGTATAGCCTTGAGAGGATCTTTAAAGATAGTCCAGCTCCCTCATTTCAAGCATTGGAAACTGAGATTGAAATTCATAGTGGGACTGATGTTTGTTCACAGCTTCTAGTATTCCAGGGCTCTTTTTACACATCTTTTTTGGTTTGGTTTAAATAAGTTAATATATTTGAAGTGCTTAGAAAATCACCAAGTGCATAATCAAAGCGCTCAGTAGAGGTTCGTTTTTGTTGATTCTGAAGATGGCTTTTTTCATTGAAAAGTCGGCAGGTTCACATTTGTTTTTTCTCATTTTGTGGACAGTTCCTGAAACAATTGGGCGTAAATCTGTAATAACGTGTTAGTTTTGTAAGTACAAAATGGAACAAAAGATTCTCACTCTAGGACAGTTTGAAAATGGAGAAAAACACAAAGAAGGAATAGAAATAGACCATTCCCTTCCCGCTCAGATAACCACTGTGAACACTTTGGCAGACCTCCTCCTTACTGTTTCTTGGTGTGCGTGTGTGTATTTTCTTTCCTTGTTTATATTTATTCACTTCTATATGTTTGCACTTTGTACAGGATAGATATCATATGCTATATATTGTTTGTAATCTCTCTTCCTTTATGATATTGTGAGCATGTATTCATGCCACTAAATCTTCAATACGATTTTTAATGGCCACATTTTATAGGGTGGGCCATAATTTATTTATCAATTCCATATTGATCAGTAAGGTTTCAACAGCTTGAGATTTTCTTTTTGTTACGGTTTGTTTAAAAGTTTTTCTATTGTGGATTTTTAAGCCCTGTCATCTTTTTAAGATAACGTGAAAAATGTAAATTGTTTTTTAGCCTCTAAAGACTCATTTTTCCTGCCAGTGCAGTTTGAAGAAATAGCACTCCATTTCAGCTCCGTTTTATTCTCCTTCAGCTGGGTCTGTGCAGTTACATACATATATCTGCACGAATATTCTTTTGATGATTATTTTACCTTAGATGTTTGTTTATTCATGGGACTGTTTCTTTAAGCTGCCCATCTCTTTTCAAGTTCCAGATCTGATTTACAAACCTTTTAAATCCTGTTAAATCATAGACTTTCCGGGATGGAAAGCACCTTAGGTTATTTACTATTTTCATGTCTTCTGACTTGCTTTTCATGCTATTTTTAGTCCTCCCACAGAAGAAAAAAAAGCCCGTGGGCTGCGTTAGAAAACTCCTTAGTGGGGAGCAGAGAGGGAGTAGGTGGACAGTGGGGGGAAATTGTCAAGCTTGTTTGGCAACATGTAGATCCAGGGAGTTTCCAGGTGATGGGGATGTTACCCGACAGTGGTGACTGCTGATCCTGCTGACATCTGTCCAGGGCTGTGCAGTTTGCCTAGAGCTTATCAGTTATGCCCTCGCTCCTCCGAGCGTTTGCTTAGAGGTCTGGGATACTGTTCTGGCCCTCTCCTTTTGAAATTAGATGCTTATACTTATAGCCGATAAAATCATCTTCATAGGGTGACTGAAAGTAGTACTTAGATCCCATTGAAACACGGTTTCTTAACCTTAACATGGTTGTGGGGCTGGATCATTCTTTGTCGTGGGAGCTGTCCTGTACCCTGTAGGATATTTGGCAGCGTCCCTGACCTTTGCCCACCAGATGCCACTGGCACCTCCCCTCCGCCCCCCCCCCCCCAAGTTGTGACAATCCATAAACCCTCCAGACATTGTAAGATGTCCCTTTAGGGCAAAATCACCCCAGTTTTTAGCCACTGCTTTAAAGGAAGGCCCATCTCACTGGATGGTTGAATCATAGAAACAGTTTATGGAATCTCTTTAGTTGAAGAACTGTAAGAATATATGCCACATGGTTCATGTGAAGTTCCCCTTGAAGCCAGGGAACAGGCTTCCTACAGGTGGAAGTTCTTTTCCTGAGGTTGGTTTTATGACTTTGTCCATTTAATTTTTTATTTTATTTTTTAAAAATCTTTTGGCTTTGCTGTATGGCATGTAGGCTCTTTGTTCCTCCATGAGGGATTGAACCCATGCCTCATTGAACCCAATGCAGAGTCTTAACCATTGTACCACCAGGGCACTCCCGATTTTATGACTTTGTTGAATGGTCACTTTTGGCAGTTTTGATTTGGTGCCCCTTTCAAGGCAAGAGATAAAGGAACTTGAGGTAACGTGGAAACTATGGAGCGGTTTTCCTGATATAGGATCAGCATTCCAAGTATGTAGATTAAATTATTATGAACTTTAAATTTTCATGGAATTGAAACATGGTGAATAAGCTTGTGGTCTATTATACTGAATAGGACAAAAACAGTGGTCTTTTCTTCTAGAAAATGGAACTTAATGGAGCAGCCCCTTGAAAATTGCAGGAAGAAGCCTAACTTTTCTAAAATTTCCTTAAAAACAAACAAACAAACAAACACAATTCAGGGTTATGAACTGAAAGTGAAAAATTTGTCCTGAAAAAATAAAGTTTACCTTTGCAGTGTTTAGCTAACTTTACTACTTTATAACTTAAAGATAGATTATTGATATTCGTGACAAACCTGCACCTTCCCCTAGAGGGGAAAATATTAAGTTGTCAAATCTTTATTTGACTTCTTTAAAAGAATAGATAGTATGGATTGAATTTTTATCATGGCATAAGTAATCTTTAATAAGTTGTAATAATAGTAATAATAATAATGTTAGAACTCACTGATAAAACAAAAAAAGAGGCGCTCTTGAACCACATTTGGTAATGGAGTTGTTTTCTGAATGACAGGATATCTGAATGCACAGAATCACATTCATTCACTGGAATGAATGCTTGTGTCATTTAACTATTCTTTTTTAAAGAGAATGCCTTTCTTTCCCCACCTCCACTTCCCTGAAGCATGAATTAGAGTTATTGTATGTAATAAATCTGGTTCATTTGGAGTGAAATATGCTTATAATATTTTTCTCAGTACCGTATAATATTTTTTCTTAGATTCTTGGTTCATGTCATCTACTGTTTTCATTTATTAGTCCTTTGGAACATGCAACTGAATACTTATGTATTTGCCAGCCATTTCGGTGAAAAGAATATTTTGTACCTCTTGTAATAAATCATATGATAGGCTTTGCTTTGAAAGAGCTAAATTACTTCTTGGCATAGCTTGCCTGAAATATGGAAAGCAAAGTGCAACTGTTAGTTTGATTACAATGGGCAGCCTGTCTGGAAATTGGTAAAACCTACAGATTTTACATGTGCTTATATGTAGTTCCACTAAAGCTACGTTAAATTCTGGTGGGAAAATTATGTAGCATTTTCAAGTAATTTAAATGATGCCATCAATATTTGAAAAGAGTTGTGAGATTCATCAGCCCTTATTATATACAAGTATGAATGCTGCACATTTCATAAGGCCTTTTTAAGACCACGTAAATTAAGCATATATTGGAGGATCAGTATGAAAACTAGAACCTAAATGTTTCCCGTTCCATGAGACTTATTTTAGGGCCTTTGCCATCATCCTGCAAGGCCTAATATTAAAGTATACCTAAAAGAAGGCATTTTAAAAAGGAAGAACTCTTAGGATAGATGTGTGAATGTCTGTTACCTCTTTGTTAAGAGGTTGTTGAGCAGCTCAATTCCCTTGTTTTGGGAGATGAATATTGTGTCAGTGCAATTCTTTGCTAATAGAGTGCTGCCTCAATATACAGAATGAACTATATCCCAGGTACGTACAGGACGGCATTATTTCTGGCAGTGGGAAGGGTAAGACAGTTTCCTCTCTCTCCTCTTTGTATTTGAAAAGTGAGTACAGTGATTACCTCTGTCTTTTTTTTGGATTTTTTAGGATGAACAGATGAATATGTGAGTAAGCAATTTGAGATTCTTCAGGTTTTTCAGAAACAATGCTAGCATTTTGCTTAGTTTTTTTTTCCTTAATAGGTATTGAGGGTTGTTGTTCTTTAGTCACTAAGTCATGTCTGACTCTTTCGCAACCTGTGGACAGTAGCCAGCCAGGCCCCTCTGTCCATGGCATTTCCCAGGCAAGAACCCTGGAGTGGGTTGCCATTTCCTTGTCCAGGGAGTATTCCCCAACCAGGACCCAGCCCACATCTGCACTGGCCGGTGGATTCTCTGCCACTGAGCCACCAGGGAAGCCCATTGAAGGCTAATGTGGCACAAGGGTTTCTTGGAAGAGAAATCCTTCCAAGTTACTTCTGAGTTCTGAAGTTTTTTTGCTTATCTCATCCTCCCTCTACTGAACATGGTGAAAGGGGAAAC